TGGGGCCCACCGGGGCAATAGGGGATCATGGCTTAGGCCCCTGTGTCCTTGCCCAAAACTCAAAAAAAGCCTATGAAAAAGGTACCAGGGGCATCGCATGGGGCCCCCTTCTGACTCCTGGCCCTCGGGCAGTGCCCGAGTTTCCAAATGGTCAGTCCGCCCCTGTATTCTACTCATTTTTTTAGCTCTCCTCCTTTTTGTTTTTCAGGTTAAAAGGAACTAGCGCATATTTTAGGTTGCAAGGTAAGGAATATGTGGAATCCGCTGCACCCTTCAATCTTTATTTGTTCTATATAAAATCCATATCGTAGACAGTGTCAGGAATAAAGAGATTAACGCGTTTCACGCTAAAAACTAGCGCTTATTCATAATGGTGGTTATTAATAAGCACTAGTCAGAGGCGTCCCTCGGATTGGTGTCATCCGGTGCGATAACACTTGGTGACACCTCCTCCGACGATCCCCGCAGAATGGATCGGATCTGCGGATTGAGCATAATGGATCGGACCCAAAATTATATACCCCAAAAAATTATAATTTAAAAAAATTTTTTTACGTTTTTATTTTATTTTTTATATTATATATATATATATATATATTATATATACATATATATATATATATTGTTTTAACATACTGTCACCCTAGCAGTACATTGTCACCATAGTGACACTGTACTACTTGTGGAGGGTGATGAAGATTTTTTTTTTTTTTTTACACTGATTGCTTTTATACCCATAAAGGCTGTAAAAGCAATCATTTCTCCTTCTCTCTGGCTGCATTCTTGCAGACATTGAGAAATACTGTGAGAGCTGTGATTGGTCACAGCTTGTCACATGGTACAAGGCTGTTGTGAATAGCCCTGTACCATGTGATCTCTGTGATCATTCACAGATTTCACACACGTAGTAAGCAATGATGTCAGGAAGTGATATCTTGCTTACTACTATTCATGTGATCACTGATTGGCCAATCATGGGTCACATGATCGGGACCTCACACAGAGGTCTCGTACAGCAATCGGTGTTCTGCTGAGTCCGGAGCACACAACGGGCACCGGATCGCGGCACAGGCAGTGAATCACTTTTGACCTAAAGGGACGCTTTTTGGACGCCATGGACGTTTCTCAGTTTCCAGGTAGAAAGAATGGTAAAAATGCAGGCAGGGCGCCGGACAAAGCACTCGGGACAAAATGTATGTGAAATGGTTTGATACAGGAATGTTATACGATGTGATTTTATTGTATTAAGTGAATGTCACTTTTAAAAATTTTTAATTTCCCGCCGTTCTGTCCCCCGTACGTCCCGACGCTCACAGGGAACGGAACCCGGAAGCCGGCATCGGCCGGAGGACATTGCCGGGGACACTGCAGGGGAGACATCGCTGGAGCGCAGGACAAGGTAAGTGAAGAAGAGATCCCGGAGCAACGCTGCAGTGTATTCCCGAGTGTAGCTCGGGGTCACCGCTTGTGGTGCTGAAACTTTACCCCGAGCTACACTCGGGAATACCTCCAGGGGGGTTAACCTACGTTTTCTAGCAGTCAGTTTCCAGCGGTCAGAAGAGTTTTTCAAACTCCCTGCGTACATGAGCCCTAAAAGTATTTTTCAGTGCATTCTGGGAATTTGAGAGGGTCTCCTGAGGTTATTTTTTAAAAACGCTTCTAAACGCAAACGCACCTAAATGCGCATACACGCGGTAGGTAAACGCACCTAAATGTGCATACACGCAGTAGGTAAACGCACCTAAATGCGCATACACGCGGTAGGTAAACACACCTAAATGCGCATACACGCGGTAGGTAAACGCACCTAAATGCGCATACACGCGGTAGGTAAACGCAGCTAAACTGGTGTTTTTAACCTACGTTTTCTAGCAGTCAGTTTCCAGCGGTCAGAAGAGTTTTTCAAACTCCCCGTGTACATGAGCCCTAAAAGTATTTTTCAGTGCATTCTGGGAATTTGGGAGGGTTTCCTGAGGTTATCTTTTCAAAACACTTCTAAACACAAACGCACATGAACATGGCTAAATGCACATAAACGCAGTAGGTAAATGCGGCTAAACTGACGTTTTTAAGCTACGTTTTCTAGCAGTCAGTTTCCAGCGGTCAGAAGAGTTTTATCAAACTTCCCGCGTACATGAGCCCTAAAAGTAATTTTTTTCCCCTGACTCTACCTTTGTGTTTTGCTGGCCTGTTTATTTAGAGGTTTGCTTGGATTTCATAGTTAACTCCCTTGTTAATAACTGGGAACACAAACTTCCTTTGCCAGGAGGCTGCTATAGATGGGTAGGTGTGAAGAATGATGGAGAAGATGTCTGCACATTCTCGAACCCTCTGGTACAGGGGCGGACTGACCATTCGAGCACTCGGGCACTGCCCGAGGGCCCGGGTCAGTAGGGGGCCCCATGAGATGCCCCTGGTACCTTTTATAGGCTTTTTCATAGGCTTTTTTGGGTGTAGGCAAGGACACGGGGGCTCCATGATCCCCTATTGCCCGGGGGCCCCATGAGTTCTCAGTCCACCCCTACTCTGGTAGCTGCTAATGTGTCTTGCTGCTTCGTTGGTAGACTTGGAGACAGACTTTCTAACAAGGCAGCTGAAGGAACTCCTTATTGCCCCTAGGTTAACTAGAACCAACACAATCCACCCATCGGCCATCATAGTCCAAAGTGACATCAGGCCATCCCTATAGTCTCCTGTTTTAAGTCAGCACGGAAATAAGACAAACGGTTGGCTGGTCTGTTCATACAACATCAGACTGGGCAGCCTATGAAGATGTCAGCAGGTTCAATCCCTAAGCTATAACACATACATTATTTGCCAATCTCAGTTTTTACCCTTATTGTTACCGCTCCTTATGCAGGCCATAGACGGGTCGAAAACCGGCCGTTTTTTTATTAAAAAAAATGAAAAATTGGTCGTTCGATCGTCCGACGTTACCACAAACGGACGATTTTTGTCCCGCCGACGGCCGGCATTTAATTACTTCTGTCCCTTGCAGAGAGCTCCGCTATTATATTTGACATGAAAAAGTCTTGCAATGTATCCATTTGTATCCATTTCGGATACAAATGTTTTTATTCGGATACAAATGGATACATTGTTGCAACCGCAAGACTTTTCATATAAACTATAATAGCGGACTGGAATTCTTTTTTTTTCTTCTTTTTCTTATTCTTCTTTTTCTTATTCTTTTTCTTATTCTTTTTCTACTTTTTTTTATTCTTCTTTTTCTTCTTCTTCTTCTTTTTCTTCTTCTTCTTTTTCTTGCAGGTCATGGCTCATGCGCAGATATTTTATCGGTAAAACAATCGGCCGATTTGCCCATCATTGCCAGGAAAATCGTCCGATTGTCAAAATCGGCCGCACATTTTCCAACTTTACCGATAAAAAAAAGTGCCAAAACCCCGAAAAAAACGGCTAACCAATTAACCCACTAACGGTGCGAAAATCAGCCGATTTTGTGTTTCGGCCGATTTTCGACCCATCTATGGCCTGCATTAGTTTACTTTACTAACAATTAGTCTCATTGAATTAGGCCTATTGCTATTTGTTGGAAGCGAGAGCAGTCGAGGGTTTATATTCCCATTGGACAAAGCACAACGCTTCCCATGGACACTAATCAGCAATGGCTGTAGGGCAATGAATGGTTAAGGATAGTTTCCTAGTTTTGCTCATCTCTTTCTTTCACTAGCAACTGAATCCCTTAGATTCAAGAGCCTCTGTATGATCTGCCGACTGTCTTCTGGTTCTGAACCAAAAAGATGACTATTTTACAGAATGAATGCTTTGTAAATGGCTTATACAGGAGGAACAAAGATTCTGACATTTCCAGAAGTGTCGTACTATCTCACAGAAAACTCAATTTGCGTGGTTTTTGCTAGGCAGATGTGATATTATTATACAGGATTTATATGGCGCCAACAGTTTGCTCAGCGCTTTACAATATAACGGGAGACAATACAGCAACAATACAGTTCAATACAAGAGGGATAGGAGGGCCTGATCCTGGGAGCTTAAAATCTAAGAGGGAGGGGCTGGTGGTAAAAAGGTAATAACTGTGGGGGATGGACTTGTAGGAGGAGTAGAAGATTCCATTATTAGCTGAGCTGAGGCTTCCCTGAAGAGATGGGTTTTCAGAGATCGCCTAAAAGTGAGCAGAGTGGGCGATAGTCTGATAAATTAGGGTAGAGAGTTCCAGAGGATGGGGGAAGCTCTGAGGAAGTCCTGGAGATGAGCATGGGAGGAGGAGACAAGGCAGCTAGAGAGCAGGAGGTATGGTTTGGGTGCTATTTGGGCGGCACAGTGGCTAAATGGTTAGCATTTCCGCCTGGCAGTATTAGGGTCACTGGTTCAAATCCCAGCCACGGCACCACCTGCCTGGAGTTTGCATGTTCTCCCTGTTCCTGCGTGGCTTTCCTCCGGGTACTCTGGTTTCCTCCCACACTCCAAAGACATGTTGCTAGGTTAATTGGCTCCTGTCTAAATTGTCCCCTAGTATGTGTATGTATGAATGTGAGTTAGGGACCTTAGATTGTACACCCCTTGAGGGTTAGGGACCTTAGATTGTATACCCCTTGAGGGTTAGGGACCTTAGATTGTACACCCCTTGAGGGTTAGGGACCTTAGATTGTACGCCCCTTGAGGGTTAGGGACCTTAGATTGTACACCCCTTGAGGGTTAGGGACCTTAGATTGTACACCTCTTGAGGGTTAGGGACTGATGTGAATGTATAATATATATGTAAAGTGCTGCGTAAATTGACGGCGCTATATAAGTACCTGAAATAAATAATAAATATTTGGAGACAAGATCGGTGATGTAATTTGGGGAAGAGTTATCAATGGCTTTGTATGTTAATGTTTTGAATTTCATCCGTTGGGCAATGGGAAGCCAGTGGAGGGATTGGCAGAGCAATAGCAAACAAATTGCATGGCATGCTGGTATAGCCTATAGTTTTTATTTTTTTAATCTGTTTTCCTTTTTTTATTGTTAGGGACTTAATGCCGCGGACTCTCGATGGCCAGATTACCATGGAAAAAACTCCCAGTTACTTTGTGACCAAGGAGGCCCCAGCCCGTATTTCGGCCATGTCGAAGGACGCCAAGCTTATCGTGGTGGTGAGGGACCCGGTGACTCGAGTCATATCGGATTATACGCAAACATTATCCAAGAGGCCGGACATCCCCACTTTCGAGAGCCTGACGTTTAAAAACAGGACTACGGGTCTTATCGACATTTCATGGAGTGCCATCCAGATTGGCATCTATGCCAAGCACTTGGAGAACTGGCTCCAGTATTTTCCCATGAGCCAGATCCTGTTTGTGAGCGGGGAGAGACTGATCACCGATCCCTCAGGAGAACTAGGGCGCGTTCAGGATTTTCTGGTGCTTAAGAGGATCATTACAGACAAACATTTTTATTTCAATAAGACTAAAGGTTTTCCTTGTCTAAAGAAGGCAGAAGGGAGCAGCAAACCCCACTGTTTGGGAAAAACCAAGGGCAGGACTCACCCCAACATTGACCCAGAAGTGGTCCAGAGACTACGGGAATTCTACAGGCCATTTAATATGAAGTTCTACCAAATGACTGGGCATGACTTTGGCTGGGATTCATAAATAAAACAGATATAATATATTAAACTTCTATATTTTTTTTACACTTAAAATAAATCTTTAGGTTGTGTCTTCACAATAAGAGATGTATAACAATCACATTATAATAAATAATTTCTCCTTTTCATAACCAAATGCAAATATTTAATAAAAATTTTTATTCAATTTGGATTATGGGGTGTTGGCAGAAAATGTATAAACATTACCTAATAGTGTATTGTGTGTTCATAATTACAGTACATTCATTTAGAGGGAAGAAAATGGCTTGTTCCAGAAAGACAATACTTTCTTCTGGACGCAAATATCTGCCAAAACAACAAATAAACGATGAGCCCAGGCTTTTATAGAGGAGGGCAATTCTGTTATGGTCATCTGAATTTCAACAAGGTCAGAGGAAAGAAGGCCTCTCACCTTGCAGGTTCACTAACTTGTAGTTGCTATATTCTTTCCAAGACTAAAGTGCTGGTAAAGGTTGAAAATGCTGGTAGATAGATTTAAAAATTAAACATGTACCAACAGGTTTTATCAGCTAAGGACCCAACAAGAGTCCAGGTGGAACTGTGCACATATACCTGGGTATATATATATCACGTACCTGGTGATGGAGGCCAATGGAGAGAGGGCTTCCCTTGTGGCTATGTTCCAGACTCCCCAGAGATTGGAACAGTGGGAGTCAGGCCCAAAGTTGCACAGGTCCCCTGTAGGAGTGCTGGTTGGTGGTCCACTCAGAAGCACAGCTGGTGCACAGAGATAGGTCTGCAGACAGGAGGCACCTGTGTGTGGTATGCAAGCCCTTCCGGGATTTAGATGTTTACTGGGTAGTCGGTCAGGTACCAGGTGGGAATCAGAGCACACATAGTCAGATGGGATAGTTGAGGTCATACACAGAAGAGCGAGAGAGAGAGAGAGAGAGAGAGAGTATCCGTAAGCTAGGCCGAGGTTCAGATCAGGGGTAAGGCAGAGTAGACAGGTCCAGGAGCAAGCCGAGTCGGTAACAGGAAATCACGGGTCAAAGTCACAGGAAACAGGAGCATGGCACGGAAAGCTAGAGATCATCTAGCAGCTTGAGGAAGTGATGAGCCTCCTTACAAAGGCCGTCTGGCACCAAACTGAGGCTGATGTGTCCTTCTGCGGCCATTCAGAGTACTAGCAGAAATGCCAGATCTTCCAGAACTTCTGCCATGGACAGGACCCTGACAATATAATTATTAGTAGAGATAACTTCCTGATGAACGTTGCAGTAAAGTTTAGTTAAAGGCCCTTGAGGATGATCAAAATGCAACATCAGTCTTGGTGTCGGAGACCTGAAGTTAAGATCAGCAATGATGGGGAGATGCTCCAGTCATTGTCCAACCAGTCTGGAACGCAGCTTCTCACCAGCAGATACCGTGATGTGGCACTGGAACTCAAAGTCAGCCTTTCTACTCTACGTCTAAGTCCCTAGTAGTTTCTAATCTGTGATACAACTAGACCATTTAACAACCATAAGCGGCCATCAGATGACTAGCCTGACTCTAGCCTATGCTGGTTATTTACAGTAGGCAAATGTCCAGGTACAGGAACAGGGCAAACAGGGAGCTTGAATCACAAGCAAGAGACTAAAGGTTTGACAGGCTTAAAACAGGGTTGAACACCACCCAGAGACTGTGTCTAGCACTCACCGTGCAGGTGGACAGACAGACAAAGAGAGTGCAGCTCAGCCAAAACCAGGATGCTGGAATGAGACCAGCAGCTGCCATGGAGCAGGAGTGTTACACGCTCCTAACAGTCTGAATTAGCAATAGCTCTTCCAAGGGGACATGTGGCCTCATATGAAACCTCTTTCTCCTCACTTCCTCCTTCTGGGGTTTTCAAACCAGCAACCCAAAGACAGAAGTGCACACAAAATTAACTCTTGCTTATTAGGAACACAGGTCTTCACAAATACAGACAGCAAATCCCTACACTTGAATCTTTAATAACTGAAGTTAGTCAATAAAAGGGATCACTTATACTCCAAACTTGCATTAATTGATGGCTAACGCAGCACAATACTCTACTACTCCTACGATGGAATATTTAACATGCAGGCATATAAAAAGGAACACAAACAAGATTAACTTTAGGTCATATCAGAGCGTGGCGCTATTAAATAGTGGATTATGTGCATACGCTCCTTACTTGGCCGGCAAGGCCTTTGATACTGAGGACCATGTCAGCTGGTTGTCAGGCAGCAGGGACAGACAAGCCTAACTTCTGCAAGCACAGATAATAATGTCATAAATAAAAGCTGTGGTCTCCCTTTAGCCCTTTTGTGACCAGAGGCAAATAAAGCCTACAAGTCCAAACCATATTTAGCAGCACCAGCATGCTCCCCCAATCAGACACTGCAGCTCATAGTGGGAGGGTTTTAGTAAAAGTGTAAATTCTGCCAATCCAGAAAGCAGTGGGTAGGAGTAGGTGTGGCCAGGTGGTAATTAACAAGCTACAGGCCTGTAAATCAGCAGTGACAATGCTAAAAGCTACGCCCTCTGCGGCAAATTCTCATTCCACTGCAGTGCAAGCAGGCACAGCCTACATGAGCGTGGCACCTCTGGAGCAGTGCAGCATAGTTGCCACCCCATCACTGGAAGCCTTCACTGTCAGGACAGTCATGTATTTGTGGGGACTATGAGAACACAGCAAATGCAGATCTACATATAAAGTGAGACTAAACAGCATCCTTATTCTTCAAACATGATCCGTACACACCCACTACCTATTTTTCATTCTTTTCTTCATGAAATCCCTTTTTAATGTGCATCTGCCCCAAACCCACCACCCCCACACACACACTTCCACTGCTCCATGCACACTACAAATCCCATAGTCCCTAGCCCATCCCAGGAGTGAGCAAGAGCATTTGTCTACATTCCTACATACAGTGGGACCAGGGGCGTATTTACCACAAGGCAAACAAGGCATTTGCCTAGGGCGGCATTTTTTTTTTGGGGCAGCACTGCTCCCCTGGAAGAAGGGACACACACATCACGGGAACCAGGTGGGATCTGTGAGAGGGATCTGAGTGCTGCAGACCAGCTCCCACATGTCTTCTGCAAAGGCACACGTGGCTCTCCCATCAGTGGTGTATTTAGGTTTCGTGCTGCCCTAGGCAACACATAAATTGACACCCCCCCTCCCAAGGACATTTACCAACAACACCTTAGCCCCTCACCACCTGAAAGAGCCTTCCACTACCACCAGCCAACCTCCCACCCCACCCTGGCAAGAGACAAGACACTCACCTTCACAGCTCCGGACATCTCTGGGAACAAGAGTCGGTCTTTGCATACACCATCAAGCAAACTGCAGCCTCTCTCAGATCCCACCTGGTCCCCGTGATGTGTGTGTCCCTTCTTCCATTCCTTCTTTCAGGGGACAGTGCTGCCCCCCTGAAAAATGCTGCCCTAGGCAAATGCCTTGTTTGCCTTGTGGTAAATACACCCGTCTCCCACCCCTTTCCTCCTTGCAAAGCATCCTGGTCCTGTAGTCCTGTGCAGTATAAAGTTCCATTGTCTGCCTCTGTGATGAAACTGCAGCTCCCACAAACACTCCAGTACTGCTGAGAGCTCAGCCAATCCAACCCTTTCTGACAACATGCAGTCTTAAAAGGGAAACAGTTCTTTAAGAGGGAAACAGCAATGGCCCCGCTACAAGTGGAAAGGATCGCTGCTACTACCGACCAGCCCAGGTGAATAAATGGTAAGGAGTGGCCTCAGCCTACTCCCCCCTAGTGCCCCGGTGGATGTGGCAAAATGCATCAGGGTGTGTGGTTTGGTGGAGACCTCTAGGCATCAGGAGTAGTGAAGATCCTTTTCTTCTTACCAGCATTCCCAGCATGCCTTTAGGCTTGGTTCACATCTGTGTGGGTGGTGCCGCTGCGTATCCGCATAAAAATCCGTGCAGCCGCACCACCCGCACATTAATTCTAATGGCACGCCATCCGCACTGGAAAACGCAACCGTACTGGGAACCTCGGCTGTGTTTTCGAAGAAGTGCCGGGACTTCTTCCCTGTGTGTCACGGGCACGGGAGTCCATTCAAATGAATGGGCTCTTGCGCCCGTGCAAAACGCAGCCCGCACGGCCGCATAGATGTGAACCGGGGGGTAACATACCGATTGTGGGTGACCAGGTGTTGATTCACACTTTCTAGGTGACAGGTACACTTTAGAAGTCGGGAAAACTTGTAATAATTAAGCAAGCTGTTTTCACCGTTTTTTAGGTTTTTTTTGTGGGGTTTTTTTTTTGCCTTTTTCAAATTGCACCTTTCAAAACCTGTAATTTAGTCCCATTTATTTATACATTAACATAATGCATTATTTTGCTAAATAGCGCACAAATAATTTATATTGCTGTTTTTCGAAGGTTCTATCATTTTTTTTTACAGTTGCATAATTTTGGAGATAAGAACTAAATTATACCATTTATCACAACTCAAATATTGATTTTCTGCTGTGTAAATATAACATCCTGCGGCTCTTTCAGAAGCGAAATGTTAATGGAAAAAATGAATGATAAATCCGTTTATGTATTTATGTTTTTTTTGTTCTTATAGAAAAGGAAACAAAACTGATGAATGAACTGCCAAAGCTATTCAAGGAACATTACACCTTTGCTGATGTCAGAATGTCATCTCAGTTTATCTATTAGTACGTTGTTCTTCAGGACTTAGCCTATGCCTCTGCAGGGGGGCTGCAGTCTCTGGTCAAATGATTCTGTGCTGTTCACCCTCCTTCTTGCTCTACAGTGTGTTGCTGTGCTTGATTTATGAAAAGGACTGGGCATGGTCACTTAGCTTAGTGAATGCGGGGAAGCTGAGCTGACTTCAGTCATCCAATTGCGTGCAAGAAAAAATCCTGTTTGTTAACTGTGCCATGGATAAGGGGGTACCACCAGGCCTCCTGTACGGGGCCCAAGCCAGCAGGGGGGGGGGGCAGGTAGTTGGGTGAATCAGATGTGGGCAGGGAGGGTGATCAGCATGGGG